GGCCTTTAATGTACTCCTCAGCTCCTCCCAGCTCCCCGCCATCCCCACCCAATGCAGGCACTCACTTCTGAGGTCACTGGAGGCTCATACCAGATGGAACAGAGAATACCTGTGCCATTTTCTGCTGCTCCTGGGAAACAGTGTGCATGGAGCTAAAGGCAGGTGTGGGCACCAGAGTGGAGTAGGCACTCTGGCTCTCTTTGGAGCTGATGCTCTTCACAGACCATTGGTCATTCACGATGCGTAAACTGGAAAAAAGAATGGACTCTCGACAGCTGGATAGGAGGACAAGCCCCACCTCCAACAGTGATCCTACTACCTACCTCACAAGCACTTTCCCACCACTTCTAGTTCTTCCTGCCTCCCAGATACCTTGCTGGTCCTCCTTCCCCTTCCACAATACCTGCCTTTGGAGATATGTCTACCAGTTTCAGAAGATTTTAGGTTTACCGCCAGCCTAGAGACTGTTTCACACACCCCTTTGCCCTTTATAATAGACCAAGGAGGTGGATATTCTGTCTTATTCAAAGGAGGACACAGAGTCACAGCGAGGCTGTGTGATTTGACCAAGGCCACACAGCAGGTAAAGTTTGGAGTCAGGGTGAAAATGCATTGTTCCTATGTCACGGACTACGATCTTAACCACTGGTCAAGTCTGATCGGGGAATCTACTCCTCAGAATTCTGCCATTGTGAGGAAACCGTAAGGAATGCATGGTCACCTGCCCACGGGCTGCGGGCTGGGGTGGTTGTTTTCACCTACCTGGAGTTGGTACCAGGAAGAGCGATGAAGATCCGCGTGAAGGCACAAACGTGAGCCTGACACATTCCTTCCACTTCTAGGACAAAAACAATTCTGCTCAGAGTTGTCTGTGTTTACACGCACACCAGACGCCTTCCCCACTCAAGCTTTTATGAAGACAGTCATACAAGGACAGCTGTCCACTGGGAGTTAAGGGGATGTCAACCAACGGGAAGGGCAACAGTAAGAACAATGACTTCTCAGTGATAGGGACTTTATTCTGTGTCAGGCCCCATGACAATCTCCTCACAAGTTCATTTGTCTAATTTGTCACAGACACTCGTTTTGCAAATGGGGAAACCAAAAGGTTAAAGAAGTGTCCTCAGAGAGCAGAGTGAGGGGAGGGGACGAGAGCCCTCGAATTCTATGTCCTCTATCCCAAACTCCTGCTCTCTGGTGGGATAGGCAGCTATGGCTGTGGGTCAGACAAGAGTGGGTAGGGGCATGGTGGGAGTGGACAACACAGAGGAAACAGGACGGGAAGGGATCAGGGAAGCCTGGGGAGCTCTGAGAGGGGACAGTGGGGAGCACAGAGAAGGGGCTTTACAGACGCTCACCTTCTTTGAACAGCCCATTGACAGAAAAGCAGAGCATATTTTCCTAAAAGAGAAAAATAGTTCAGGTTCCCAGGAACCCAGTACATCTCTGACCCATCTCTCCTCCCTGGGCCTGCCTCAGGGAGGAAGCAGGTGCTCACCGTCTCGACACACGTGTCCACCACAAAGGAGCTGAGGTCATGCAGGGTCTTGGGCAACACACTGAAGAAGTCAACAATCTCCGTCTTTGTATGTTTCAGCAACTGAACAGACAGGCCTGTGGGCAAAGACAAGAGGTGGTCAAGGGCTGCCTCCCTCACTGGGTCCCTGTGATTTACCTTCGCACCTCCCACTCCATCCAATCTTTAGTCTCAAACACACATACCAAATCTGTTGAGCTCCTCCGTATTCCTGTTGTCCTTGGAGTATTTGGGCAAGTTGATTCTAGGAAGAAAGCAGGAACAGGAGGAGGAGGCTGGTCAGTGTCTGCTGGGAGTCACAGGTCCAGGGCTGTCCTAGGGGCTGAGATACTCACAGGGATGGTTCCTCAGGCTTGAAGGGAGTACTCAGTGAGAAGCAGGCATTGTCGTGGTAAGCACTCAGGAGACTCTGTCGGTCCCCATCATCGTAGATACTGTAATACCTAAGGGGAAGCAAAGGCTCCTTAGAGACTTATAAGAAACTTCTGACCCAAACATAAGCAGATGTGTGCATGGACAGATTGGCCCATCTCAATGTGCACATTGCCTCACGGCACAAGGAATTCTTACTGCTTCAGGAACTTCCAGACTAGATTCTTCATGGTGTCTGATCCATAGATGCTCCCCTGGAATGAAAATGTTCTTCAGGATTCTAGCTGCCATCCCGTCCTCACCCTCCACTCCAAGCCCTGCTTGGTCCTGCCTCCTCACCTTGCAGACTGGTAACTTCTTGTTATCCCCAGTGTCAGAGAAAACAGGTGAGGGCAGCTCCTGATCATCCTGGGGAAGGGAAGGAGATGTCAGCAGTGCTGACTGGGGTGGGGGCACTTGATGGTTAGGGAAAAGAATGGGCAGAGGAAAGAGGAAGGGGTTAGAGGTCAGGGTATAGGCCCAATGACAAAGTGTCCTAGAGATTCCATGGGCATGATTCTCGTGGGGTCTTCATCAGAGAGACCAGGTGCTAGTGGAGAAGGGTAGAGAAAGTCCTCAGGCTTTATCAGCTTCCCCACGGGGGCTTCCTTCCCAGGGAGCTTAGGGGCCAGATTCAAACATCTAACCTGGGCAGGGTCTAAGGGACTCAGGGCAGGTTGTGGGTGGCATTATGTATCAGGTGGAGGATTCAGGGAAAAAAGAATACACTCACCAGGCTTAATAACTTGGGGAACAAGTCAAGGAGTTCACTGTTAAATATCAAGGTAAAAGAGAAAATCAGAGCTTGCCTGCTGGGTTGAATCCTGCACACTTGCGCAGGATCACTGATGGGTGTGTCTCATCTACTTTTGAAAGTCATGCCCCTCAGGGACCTTGGGCACTCCCCCATGGACTCAGACAGAGAAGTGGGAGTGCTTTCTCCATGCCCTTCTCTCCCTCTTTTGATGTTCCCATGAGGACAACTCTGCCCTGCCTCACATCCCTCCCTGCAAGTTCTCAGGGAAGTCTCTGAAGAATGAGGGAATGAGAAGAGGCCCAGAGTTCTGCTATCTCACCCGGTGTCCAGTGATATCTGCCCGGTCTAACCATGGGCAAGACCATGACTTCCCCTCGGGTTGGCCCAGGATGCAGGCCAGGCAGATGGGTGAGGCAGGATCAGGAGGCAGGGAGGAGATGAGGACACAATAGGACAGAAGGGAGGGGAGCAGAGGGGTGGGGAGACATAGGCCAGTGAGGAAAATGGAGAAAGTTAAAGAAAGACAAGTGGGGCGAAGTTAGCCTGAGTGGTGGGCGTTGGGGACAGAGAGAGAGAAAGGGGAACTGATCCCCTCCGCTGCCAATGTGGCCGCCCTTCATCTGCCCATGGAGTGGAAAGCAGGCCCTTGGTCCCCTGTGTGTCCCCCTCTGAGGTGGGCATGGGAAGAGCAGCAGCCATGGGGCAGCAGAGCTTCCCCAGGAGGAAAGGCTCAGGTCTCTGCAGAGCCGGGGTTGGAGGGTCTGTGGCCTCTCTTGAGAGCACCACCCTTATCGGCCCTGGCGGACCCTGCACAACAGTGCCTGTTCTTAGTTGGTCCCCAGTCCAAGGTTTCAGACCACCTTCGACTACCCAGGGCTCTTCGGAAGTTCCATGCAGGATGGCTCAATGTGTTCCTGGGAGGGTGTCAGGGCCTCATGTCACCACACATGCCACTGACCCCAGACTTCCACACTCCACACCTGCCTTGGGATGCCCTCTGTTCACTGCAGGTGACCCACTTCTCACTCTGGGAGCCCATTTTTATCACTCAGTAGGGCCTTACTCCTAGCATTGAGCCAGAGGAACAGATGGCATGATACAGCCAAGCCTGAGCCTCGGCCTTCAGAATGATGTAATAAAGCCCTGATACCTCCCTAGGACAGATCAAAGGGTCCTTTTGGAACAAAGAAGGGAGGGCTCATCATTAGATGGGGATGGAAGCCCCATATAGGCTTAGAGGTCAGAAAGCCTTTCTGAACACGATTTCCTGACTAGGAACAGGCTTCACCTTCTAGGCAGACCCAGAGGGGAAGCAGCGAATAGTCTACACACCTCTGGTCCTGGGGAGGAAGGGAGATCCCTGCTTCCTGGAGCACATGAAGAGGAGGCCATGCCAGATAAGGCTGGGTGCAAAGAGGGGGGAAACAGAGAGGAGCAGAGAAAAGGCCAGAGAAGGCAGGGAGACCTCTAAGCACAGGTGAGGGTATGGCATGTGTTTCTCCAAGATGACTGGGGCTGTAACCTCCTATTGACAGGCACTGTCAGGGGTAGCTTAGGCTTTCCAGGGCAGCAGAAAGTGTAACTGACCTTACGTTGGTGGGCTCATCTGGGAAGGTGGTGCACAGAGGCTTTGTGTCTGCACACATCTCTTCTGGCTCCAGCCCTTTCACCCCGGCCATCTCCCCTTCAGCCTTCATGTGCAATTATGTGGAGGAAACATGAATCAGGGTGTGTGATCCAGGAGGGCTCTTCCCCCTCAATTCCAGCACCTCCCACAAATGTCCTTCCCTCTTGTCATCAACCTGACGAGCCTTACCTCTTTCCTTTCAGAATGGGCTCTGACTACTGCTTCTCACCTTATTTTGTAAAAGGTGTGGGCTCTTGATGTCGGGCGTCTTCCGCACTCTGTCAGACAGGCTATCCAAACGGTAGGGTTTATTCTTGCTCGAGTTAAAGGGCAAAAGCTATGATGGGGGAAGAGCTAAAGTGAATGTTCCTAGAGATTATATCTGGGACAAATCTCTCAACCCCACCTGTCCCACCTTCACTGTAAACACTACGCCCAATGCCTCACCTTGGGCATGTTTTCTTCCTGGATCTCCAAGGAGGCAGCCGTGCCATTTCCAAGATTGGACTGTATTTCAGTATCATGGCTCGTCATGTCTTCAGGAAACCAAGAAGTGAGATTCAGAAAGATGAGAGGGGCCCAGCTGGATCAGCACATCTAGTCCCAACACCTCCCGAAGTTACTCTTTAAACCTGCCTCCATGAATGATTCCTATGCCGTTATCTGCCCTAGAATTAGTGCAGTCAGTCATACCTGGGGCACAGTGTTGTCTCACGAGGTCAAGAGCTTCCTGGTGAACATCATCTTGTTTCTTCTTGATCACCTACATAGGCAGGGAGGAATCAAAGGCTCTATCTCTGAGGTGGTGGAGGGGTAATCAGTGAGGGAAGAAGCACTGGTGGGTCCAGGCACACATGCTTCGAATCTGCCTTACCTTTATCAGTTTCGCATTTCTGGACTTCAGCCATTTCTGCTTTGAGTTGGGTATATCAGAAGACATGGAATAAATAGATATCTGCAGAGTAGACAGGAAAAAAAGCTTGAATATGTACCAAAACCTCTGAAATGCAACTTCAAGCAAGATTCACCCCCCCACCCCAACCCCCCACCAGCCTGCCCTTCTGCTCTTAGCTAGCCCTGGCCATGCCCTGACACACACCCTATTGCTCCGCTCATCCCAAATCTTGCCGCCAGCTTTCTTTAATACAAACACAACGATGGCCTCCTTGACAAAGAACGGAACTTTCATTCTCTCATAGTGAAACTTCAGTGAGAGCAGCAAGCAAAAAGTTCAGCCCAACCCCTCTACTTGCCCTGTGTCTGTCCATTCACTACCTTGCTGGCCTCTCTTCCCTTGGCTGGGGAAAGAAGACATTGCACTGCCTCTGAATCAAATTCAGCAGCTTTTTCTTGCTAAATGGAATCTTAGAGCAAAAGAAAGGATGGCAGAAGACCTTGACATCATGGACATCAAGCTTAAAGAGAGACCAACAAAGTGTTCTTTTGGATACTTTTCCAGGCTTTAAAAGCAATTCTAAAACAGAGAAATACCCATTCTTCAAGCTTTCATAGCAGGCGTAGGTTTCCTAAATACCTTTTTGTGTGCATTCAATTATTTTCTTTCAAACAATCAACTTCTAACCTTTGGCACACTCTTTCTTTCATAAGGGGCTAGAACAGCGGTTCTCAACCTGTGGGTTGCAACCTCTTTGGAGGTCAAATGACCCCTTCACAGGGGTTGCCCGATTTGTAACAGTAGCAAAATTACAGTGATGGAGTAGCAACGAAAATAATTTTATGGTTGGGGGGGGCGTGTCACCACAACATGAGGAACTGTATGAAAATGTTGCTGCATTAGGAAGGTTGAGAACCACTGGTCTAGAAGTTTCTACCAAATGAAGACCCTGTCTGTCCCAGTGACAAGGACTCCAGAGACCCAATATCATACCTATCTGTTCCTCCGAATTCTTAGTTTGCGCGAAAGTGACCCATGCAATGGGGAATTGCTTCATCTTTTTGTGAGCAGTTTCTACCTTTGTCTGTAGACACCTTGTCCATTCTCACAGCCTTTAGCTAGTTCCCTTTTTATTACTTCTCTCAGCCTACCTTCACACGAATTGAGGCTGTGAACACCTAACAATAAAAAGGACAACTTGCTAGCTCACTGTGACCCAACAGAGTACATAGTGTCCCCACTTGAGATCAGCACAATGCCACACAACCTGTCTCCTCTACACATTGGATCTATTTTGTCAGGACACGCACTGTGATCTTGAATAACTTCCTAGAGGTCCTGTCCCGATTATTATCCTCCATTTCTTCATCTGGAGATTTTCTCTCTTTTTCCATGTGATCATGGTTTTGGTCTCCATTATGACAACTATCTCTCGGATAGTAGGTTGGGATGGCATAGGGAGTGCTGTAAGGATATAAGAGAAAGAAGGTATTCATAAATGCCAGGAAAATGTTCTAACACCCTGGATGTTTCCTCCCCGCTCCCACTACCATGACTCGAATTCTACCTTGCAAGTCTGGCTGGACCAGAGGATGTACACTGGTGCAGATGGGAACTGGGAATACAGGGAATCCGGGGCGGGTGAGCCCTACAGGACCAGTGGTGTGAGTGGCAAAACAGGGAGGGTAAAAGGAGAGTGGGTGGAAAAGAGGGAACCGATTGCAGGGAGCTGTGTGTGGCTTCCTCCCTGGGGGATGGACAGCTGAGTGGGTGGGTGGGTGAGGGGAGACGTCGGACAGGGCAAGATATAACAAAATACCAATTTGTAAACTGTCAGGGGCTCATGGGGGAGGGAGGAGCGGGGAGGGAGGGGAAAGGTGGGGACCTAATGCTGGGGGTTTAAGTGGAGAGAAAATGTTTTGAGAATGATGTACAAATGCACTTTACACCATTGATGTGTGTATGGATTGCAATAACAGTTGTATGAGCCCCTAATAAAATGTTTAAAAAAAATGTTCTAACACTTCACCTTTCTGATTACCAAAATGCTAATAATGTTTTCTCAACTGTTAATCTGGTCTAGACGTCCTCATTCTACCATGGCGGATATAAGAAGAGGAATCACAGAGTGAAATAGAGCATTATATATTCCTGTGCATGCCACAGGGAGAAAGATGGGGCCTTCTACTCCCATAAGAGTTGTAGTCTCAGAAACTCACAGAGGCAGTTCTACGCTGTCCAATAGGGTCACTATGAGTTGGCATTGACTCAATGGCAGTGAGTTTGGTTTGGGGTTTGGTGCATGCCACTTTGCTGCTGGGTCACTTACTATCTTACTCCAGGGCCCACATAGGAATCGTTCATTGCCACGTCTCCATCTTGCTCCTGGCAGGATAATAGATGAATGCCAGGTTCAGAGCCGACTGGTTTAGAACAGTTGGCATAACTTCTTTGAGGAATAATCCAGAATCTTGCTCTTCTTTGGCAAGAATCAGCGTGGTTATTTCTCCCTGAAATTGAGAACGGTATATCAATGATCTGGATGTGAGAAAAACTGCTGGGAAAGAAACACCTCAGATTTTTATAATCCCAACAGAAATATAACACAGTGCTGTGAAAGTTGAACAACACCACTATGATTCTAGTCCCTCTGATATAAGAGTTAGAGAGCATTCGCAACCCAGGAAAGAGTAAGCTCAGAGGGAAGGGCTTGGACACGGGCCCCATTCTGAGGTGACAGTCCTTGTTCTGCAATCCCAGTCTGGGTTCCTTAACTCTATATTCTCCTCAAGGGGGAAGGGGGACGACAATGAAATCTACCTGAATGTTCGGTGCTATGATTCAAGAGCCAAAGGCAAATTCTATATTTCGAAAGATAGGGCTGATGAAGATATCCAAAATGAAGTCTGGAGATGCAAAATTGTGAAGAATATAGAGAGGATATAGAGTTAATGGAGGTACAGTGCATAAATCTCACACATCTTCAGAGTCCAGAAAGAAATAAGAGGCATAGTGGAGAAGTCGTTTTTGGAGAGGCTGTGACTGAGACAGTTTTGGAAGTAACAAAAGACACCACGCTGGGAATCACTCTTTGCCACAGCTCCGTCTTGCTCCTAGCAGGATGACAGATAATGGACAGGGACATAATAATGAGACAAACAGTGTCTTTAGGTCAGAATCATCACTAGAAAAGTTGGAGCTTTCATAGAGAGAAAAAGTTCAATTCGACAAGAAGTGAATCATAAAACAACTCTAATTTTCTGTGCACTTCTTAACATAAAAGCCAAAATGTACACAGCAAAAAATGGCAGACATAACTGAAGAAGTGGACATGTCTACATTCACTGTAGGACAGTTTGACTGAATGCCCGATAAAACAAATTCAGTTAGATAAAGAATATTAAGACAACGTGAGTAACAAAATTGACATAGAGCACAGCACATACCAGACCACATGCTGGGGCAGGAAACAAGCCTTTGCAAACCTCCAAGTGGGTAATACAATCTAGCTACATGGTTGATGTGAGGATTCTAAGATAGAAGTGTTTTCTCAGCCCTTCCCCCAACTTTTAGTATAAATCCCAGGGATGTCAATTTTCAACTCCCCATTCCGAGCAAGCCTCACCACTCCCCAAACTCTGAACTTTCCCCCTCAACCAGGGAAAAGATTTCACCTCAACTCTGACCAAAACCACAGGAAGGGAGGTTTTCCATATGGAACCATGATAGAAGTCAGAGGAACCCTCATTCACAGGTGATTAAAAATTTGGCCTGGACCCTCCCTAGCTACAAGGGAACTATTATCAGAAAAGGACGGAAAAGGACCCAGAACCCCTCCTCCTCTGACCAACTCACCCATTCTTTGGCCTGCAGCGAGTAACATATCACCACGGTTCTTACAAGGTTTTGCTGAGAAGAATGCGTAGGTCTGAATCCTAGGGTTTGGGGTAGATCGAGTGGGGTTCTTGAGGAAGGCAGAGAGCAGTCCCCAAGTGACCTTCTCAGTGCCACACTAGCAAAATGGAGTTTTTACAGGAAATTTCTTCCCTAATGGCATAGAGAGGCGGTCTCTGGGAGACAGAGATGTCTGCTTCCTGTTCTTACAGGCTGGTGGTTTGCTACTAGACTGGCGTAGAGAGGCGGTCTCTGGGAGACAGAGATGTCTGCTTCCTGTTCTTACAGGCTGGTGGTTTGCTACTAGACTGGCGCCCGGAGCGCCCTTTCCAATTGAGTTATCCTCCCACTCACCAACCTACCGCAGCTGCCCCCGCAGTCGGCACAAGTGCTTAACTGGAGTCGGGGAACTGAGGGGAAGCAGTGGACCATACTTTGTGTCTGTTCTATTACATGGTGTTCCTTCCTTCTGCAAACTCCAGAAATTCAGAGGGCTTGCCAAATCTCAGGCTCTGAACTGGCTACATCTATTTGTTCATCTATTCCTCCCAAGGAGGCCATGAATGCCGAATGGTTTAGTGAAGGACAGGAGCTTATCAGTAGTCACATAGATGTGGAACAGGGGGGATCCTTCCCCCAAGGACAGTTTCAAAAATACGTCTAAATGCACTTTGGGGTTTCCTTAACTTTAGGCTAAGTAAAAAAAGACCTGAAAATAGTAGGCAACGACTGCCCCCATCAGAGAGGGAACATAGGAGACAGAAGACTTACAATCTATAAAGGAAATAACAGACTTGGCCAGGTTTCTAGAATGAGATTTTCTTGTTAGTGCTTAATATAGATTGCCCATGGTAGTCAGAGGCAGAATTGCAGTGCGCATGTCTTCCTATGTGTGTGGGGGTGGGGTGGGGGATGGGCGGGGGACAGACGGCTGGGCCTCTCTACATAAACCAGAAGTTTGGGGGATTCTCCACTAATGAAAGCAATCTATGAGAAAGAAAGTCAGCCCCTGAGCTGAGGAAGAAAGTTCAGCCCCTGAGCAAGAAGAAAATAGGTACTTATGTGAGAGTGTTTGAACATTTGGAGTATAGCAAATGTAAGACAGAAACCCAGGTACAAATAAATGGCCAAGTCAAGAGGTGTTTTATAAAAAAAACAAAAGAAACCGCAACAGTATACACTGAACATTGTACCTAAATTAAGAGATTCACCTAAATAATTTTATCAATTGCTGATTTCATATTTTCAAGTGTCTCCTTCAATAACTTTGCCTAATTACAAAATAGTCAACATTAAAAAGTCTACTTGGAAAATTAGATAATTCTGTATCTTCTATCTACAAAATTCTTACCTTGATCCACAGTCCTCAGCTGTAAATGAATTCTGACACTTTTCAAATGTGTTTCTCTTTAGAGAACGTAACCTAAACTTGTTGGCATCAAGGCCATTCCAACTCAAAGCAGCTGTAGGACAGACTAGAACTGCCTTTAGGGTTCCTAGGCTGTATCTTCTAAGGGAGCTGCTGCCACATATTTCTGCTGCAGAATGGCTTGTGGATTTAAACTGGTCAGTAGTCACACGCTTTACCACTATGCTATCAAGGCAGCTTTATAAGGTGTTCGCCTCCCTTAAATATTAGTATTCTATAGGTATGTAGAGTCTTCGGAAATGTTTGAAATCTCATGAGTAATCTGAAAATTCTTCAATAAATGTGGTTTGCTGTATCTCTAGATATTTATTAAATAAGCATTTTGCTTCTCGGGTGAATTGTTTGCTGATATGTTTTCTTCTTCTCCTATCTGCTACTTAATAAATTCCTTCATGTTCAAAAGGAGCCCTGGTAGTGTTGTAATTATGTGTTGGGCTGTTAACTGCAAGATCAGCAGTATGAAACCACCAGTTGTTTGGCAGGAGAAAGACAGGGCTTTCCATGTCTATAAAGAGTTGCAGTTTCAGAAACTCACAGAGGTAGTTCTACCTTTTCCTATAGGGTCGCCATGAGTCAGCATCAACTCCATAGCAGTAAGTATTTTTGTTTCCTATGTTCATGCATAATAGAAGAGAATGTGAAAATATCTACTCCCACTTCTTTACATTTTTAGTTTAAATGTTTTTCCTGTTAACAGGGATTCCATTGACATTTCCATTAACTCTAATTTTGTTTTATTTTTAAAAACTGCTACTCTCAGTAGAACAAAATTGGGTAAAACAGAGGGTCGCATAAAAGAGCAGGTCATTAGCGATTCCAGCATGCAAAGCAGTGAAGGCTTCAGGACACAAGGGAAAAAAAACTGTAGACTTCCGACCAAATTTGTGAATACTGGGGACAAAAAAAGGATACTCATTTGGCTTAAATGATCCATCATCTAAGTTAATGTAATTAACTCTGGCTTAAAGTAATTCTGTCATATTAATGATCTTCCCTTCTTGTTGGCAACTTTTACTGTGCTTTTGTCTGGGTCTCACAAACCAATTCGCAGACAATTCAGCCCAAGTGGCCTTACATCTACTTATGAGGTGTGGAACCCCCTTGCAGTAAACTTTTTCCCTGATTCATGAAAGCCAGTCCATACCTGAGGGCAATGATTGGAGACCAAGAGGCATGATGCTCAGTGAACCACTGTGTCAGTTCCAACACATAGGGCTCCTACAGGACAGAGAAGAACTGTCACTTTGCGTTTTTGAGACTTATTGAATATTTATGGAAGCAGGTAGCCTCATCTTTACCCTAAGAAGCTGCTGGTGGGTTTGAATTGCTGACTTTGCTGCTGGCAACTCAATGCTTAACACATTGTGTCAGGCTGAGTTCTCTAAATAAGCAAAACCAGTGACACCAGCCTGTGTGATCATGAGGTGTCAAGAGGATCAGGTATCAGGCATCAAAGAACAAAACATCATATTATTGTGAATGAGGGGAAGTACAGAGTGGAGACCCAAAACCCATCTTTAGGTAACTGGACATCCCCTTACAGAAGGGTCACGGGGAGGAGACGAGCCAATCAGGGTGCAGTATAGCACTGATGAAACATAAAACTTTCCTCTAGTTCTTTAATGCTTCCTCCCCGCCCACTATCATGACCCCAATTCTACTTTACAAATCTGGCTAGACCAGGGCATGGACACAGGTACAGAAAAAGCTGGAAACACAGAAAATCCAGAACAGATAAACCCTTCAGGACTAATATTGAGAGTAGCCATACCAGGAAGGTAAGGGGAAGATGGGGGAGATAGGGAGAATTGATCACAATGATATAGGGGAACTGATCACAATAATCGATGTATGGTCCCTCTCCCAGGGGGATGGACAACAGAAAAGTGGGTGAAGTGAAACATCAAGCAGTGTAAGACATGAAAAAAATTTTATAAATTATCAAGGGTTCATGAGGGAGGGAGGGGAAAAATGAGAAGCTAATACCAAGGGCTCAAGTAGAAAGAAAATGTTTTGAAAATGATGATGGCAAAAAATGTACAAATGTGCTTGACACAATGAATGGATGTGTGGATTGTGAAAAGAGTTGTATGAGCACCCAATAAAACAATTTTTTAAAAAGACCTAAATGTATACCCCAGAGCTATCAGGATCATCAATGAGAAAATTGGGGCAAACTTCAGGGTCCTATTTCAGGGCAAGTATAATAAAGGAAGCAAACACACTGGAAGACAAAATAGATATATGAGAGACCTACTTAAAAATTAATCAGGTATGCACAGCAAAAGAATAAAACAAGAACCCACAGATTGGCTGTGGGGTAGGGGGCAGGAAGGGCACAATGGACAAGGTGCTAATTACCAAAATCTACAGAACTCTACAACACCTCAAGATAATAACAAATGACCCAATTAAAAAGTGGGCAAAAGACAAAACTCGATAATTTATAAATTATTCTTTTTTTTCTTTATGTCTTACACCGACTGCATTCTCCTTTCACCCACTTTTCTGCTGTACATTCCCCGGGGAGGAGGGGGCCATACATCGATTATTATGATCAGTTCCCCTTTGCTCCCCGCCCCCTTCCCTTACCCGCCTAGTATCACTGCTCCACATATTGCTCTGGATTCCCTGTGTTGCGAGCTCTTATCTGTACCAGTATACATGTTCTGTTCCAGTCGGATTTGTAAGATAGAATTGGGGTCACGATAGTGGGGCGGGGGAGGGAGAAAGCATGAAAGAACTAGAGGAAGGTTGTTTGTTTCGTCAGTGCTATAACTGCACCCTGACTGGCTCATCTCTTCCTTATGGCTCTTCTGACAGGGGATGTCCAATTGATTACTGATGGGTTTGGGGTCTCCACTCTACCCTCCCCCTCACTCTCATTGATATGATTTTTGTTTGTTTTCAGTCTTTGATGCCTGATACCTGTTCCCATTGTCACTTCGTGATCACACAGACTGGTTTGCTTCTTCCATGTGGGCTTTATTGCTTCTCAGCTAGATGGCTGCTTGTTTATTTTCAAGCCTTTAAAACCTCGGACCCTATATCTTTTGATTGTCAAGAACCATCAGCTTTCTTCACCACATTTGCTTTTGCACCCATTTTGTCTTCAGCGATCATGTCAGGGAAGGTGAACATCACAGAGTGCTGTGTTAGTAGAACAAATTGTTCTTGTGTTGAGGGAGTATATTTGAGTGGACGCCCAATGTCCATCTGCTGCCATAACACTTTATAAATAAATATATGTACATAGATCTAGGGGTATGGAAGAAAAAAAATGAGGAGCTGATACCAAGAGCTCAAGTATAAAGAAAATATTTGGGAAAAGATGATGACAACATATGTACAGATGTGTTTGACACAATGGATATATGTATTAATTGTGATAAGAGCTGTAAGAGCCCCCCAAAAAATGTTTTCCAAAAATACAAATCCTACCAATTTGATGTAACTCTTAACATTGTTTTGTTTTGATTTTGGTGAAGTTATATGGAAAGACTTTCGTATAAGACATCAGGATGGCAAAGGCTTTGTGTTATATTCACATGGAAATTAAATTTTCATCTACAAAAAGGACATAAACCGATAGTTCACCAAAAGCGACACTGGAATGGTTAACAAACATGATAAAATGATCACAGTCACTAGCCATCTGGGAGAA